GGGGCCAGATTACCCAAAGATTTTAAAAGCCAAACAGAGCAGTTTATATTTGATTGTGAAGGCTATAGGGGGCCACTGGAATTTATTGAATAGTGATATGATAGATCAGACCAATACTTTAGGAATATCAGTTTGACAGCTGAGGGGACTGGAGTGGGGAGAAACTTGTGCCTGGGAAACCAATTAGCAGTCTCTTTCAATAGTCCAGATGTGAGGTGATAAGGACCTGCACCTTGATGATGGTCCTGTTACTGGAGAGAAGGAAGAGTAGAGAAGAACATGACAACTGATGGGATGTGGAGGTTGGAGTGAGTGCCAAGGGGGACTCTCTTGGGACCTTTCCACACCAGCAAATTTTATTTTCAGTTCAAAATTCTTTCCTTCTCTCCACCCCTTCTCCTACCCATTGAGAAGGCAAGAAATACAATTCCCATTATACATATGAAGTCATGCAAAATATTTCCATATTAGCCAGAAAAGGAAAAAATACGCTTCAATCTGGACTCTGAGTCCACATGGATAGCATTTTTCATCACGAATCCTTTGGAGTTTTGCTGGGTCATCATTTTGATCAGAGTTACTAAGTCTTTTACAATTGATTATCTTTCCAGTATTGCTGTTAACTGTATCCATTGTTTTTCTGGTTCTGCTCACTTCACTTTGCATCATTTCATATGTCTTCCCAAGTTTTTTCTGAATTCATCCCCTTCATAATTCCTTACAGAACTTCTTAGTATTTCATAATATTCCATAATTTCTGACAGAATTTCTTAGTATTCTATCATATTCATATACCTTAACTTGTTCAGCCATTCCACAATTGATGGGCATCTATCATCCATCCAAAAAGAGCTGCTATAAATATTTTTGCACATACTAGTCCTTTAATTTTTAGCTCCTTGGACTTATAGACCCAGTAGCAGTATTGTTGGATCAAAAGGAGGCACAGGCTATGTGATCCTAGGCAAGTCACTTAACCCCATTGCCTAGCCAAAAAGCAAAAAAAAAAAAAAGGAGGCCCTGTTTTGTAGTCCTTTGGGCATAGTTCCCAATCAGTCTCCAGAATGGTTAGATTAGTTCATAGCTCTACATTATCTTAGTGTACCTATTTTCCCACATCCCTTCCAACATTCGTTGTTTGCCTTTTTTGTCAACTTCGACAATCTGATAGGCATGAAGTGGTACCTCTGGGTTGTTTTAATTTGCATTTCTCTAATTATTATTGATTTGAATAATTTTGTCACCAGGCTTATACACAAGAAACAATTAAAAATCATTCAAGACAGCATGTGCTTGAGTGTCTGATAGCATGGTAGAGACTGTAAGTATCAAAATTGTTCAGAAAAGAGAGTGATAACTGTGGATTTGAGAATTCCTGCTCTTGGACTCAAAAGATCGAAGATTTTGAGCTGGAAGGACCCTTAGATGACACCTAGTCCAACCTCTTCATTTTACAGATGGAGAAACTGGGCCAAGAGAGAGGTTAAATATCTTACCCAAAGTCCCACAAGATCATAAGATGGAGCAGCTGAGGTCTGGTCCTAGTTTTGCTAACTCATTATGTGACCTTGGGAAATTACCCCAAGTTCTTCTTTCTAGGCCTTAGTTTTCTCTCTTTTCAAATAAGGAGACTGCACTAGATGGTCTCTAAAAGCCCTTCCAATTTTGATATTCTAGGGCTCTGTAGTTATTTCAGGAATGTTTCTTCAGGAGATGGGACCAGATGCTGACTTTGAAGGATGGCCAGGGTTTGAAGAGGCAGAGTTTGAGTAGGTACAAATGGGGGTACAATAGGTTGCAGAGAACAGTATAAGGACCTAGCCAAGTACAGAATGAGCCTGGCATGTGTGGGACCTAACTGTGGTAGAAGATCTTCAAGGGAAGTCATGGGAGATAAGGAGGGATGGGTAGAGTGGGACATGATGAGAATCTTAAACTCACAGAATCTTTGAGCTAAAAAGTGACCTTAGAACATAGAATGTCAGCGCATGAAAGGTTCCTAGGAAAGGATGAAGAGTGTGAGTGAGACGGAACACTGAAAAATAGAATATCAAAGTTGCAAAGGAGACGTATATCAATACTCTAATTTGATAGGTGGACTAACTGAGGCCCAGAAAAGGAAAGGGACTTACCCATGGTCACGCAGGAAATGTGGTAGGGAGGTTAATATTCAGTAGTTTCCAGTCACGTCCAACTCTTCATGACCTGATTTGGGGTTTCCTTGGCAAAGATACTGGAGTGGTTTGCCATTTCCTTCTCCAGTTCATTTGACAGATGAGGAAACCGAGGCAAACAGGGTTAAGTGACTTGCCCAGGGTCAGCCAGTTAGGAAGTGTCTAAGGTCAGATTTGAACTCAGATCTTTCTGACTGCAGGTGTGGCATTCTATCCAGTGGTAGGGAAATAGGGAAAACTTAAACTCAGGTCTCCTGATTTCCAGGGCTACTTCAGCTATAACTAAACAGATAAACAAGATTATTTGGAGGAAATGGACCTTTGCAGGATGAGTAAGACATGGACTTAGCAGGCCTGGGTTGGGGGATGGGTAAGGTATTCCACGGGAGATGAAGACAAGCTTAGTGGGGAGGGGGGGACAGTGAAGAGTCAGCCTGACTAGAATGGACAGTGGAAGAGACATTGGCCAGACCTTTCTGCTCTCAAATATTCTGTCTTAATCAAATCATCTGACTCTTTCTTTCAAACTGGGTTGCAATTAAAATCAGGCATCAACACAAAGCCCATATTTCTTTTCTGAAAAGAAATTAGCTTAAGGGAGCTGTGGAGGGGAGTGGAGAGGTGGGTTTTGGTTTCAAGTAAAAGAGGATACAAGAGACAGTCACCGAAGGATATAGTGTCACCTGGGTTCAAAGACAACTCTGCTACTAATCCCCTGTGTGACTTAGGAAAGATCCTCTCCCTCATTGGGCCTCAGTTTCTTCCTTTGTCAAACAAGGGGTTGTACTTTAAGGTTCTTTGAGCTCTAAATCCTATAAGCATAGGAATCCCTGGGTACTTGAATCTGAGCACTTCCCATAGCAATGCGGCCAGTGGAAGTTGGGAAAGAACAAAGGAGGAGACTCAGGAAAAGTCCCTTTCTTTCAGGAAGTCCTCCTAACAGGCAGAAGGTACATAGACAGTTCCAACTTATAAGAAGGGATCGGGCAGCTAAAGCCACCCTGAGCCTCACTCCAGGATTATGTTCAGTGTTAATGTCTGCCTAATTTATAACATCCAATGTGCAGGAGGGATCCCTTTGTTCCCATGAGGGTTGCAGGGGAGGTGGCTGGGTACCTGCCTGCCTGTCATCTGTTCAGCCTCAATGTCCCAGCCTTTTGGAGGATGGGAAGATCTATTTTTCAAACCCACAAGTATATTGGATAGAGTGAGGAGTGACTGATACAGTGGGAGAGCAGATCAGAAAACTTGGATTCAAATTCTGGTTCTGTAATTTACTAGATTGCTTCTCTGGGCCTGTTTCCTTAACTAGAAAATAAAGATATTGGAGCAGAGGATCGTTAAAGGCCCTTCTATGTAATTTTTATGGCCTTTAATTGTATAGAGTACTAGTAGAAAGGAGTCAGGACCCCCAAGGGCCTACAAAAATTTCTCTAAATGAATTATCTATCTGCAGTGATGGAGAGTTTCCACATCCATGATTCAGTGCCTGACCAAAAATCTAAAATGAATTTAATTCCTGCCCTATCCTGCTCTAATTTAAGACTTAAACGAGGGCTGGGAAAGTATTATTTATTACGGATACAGTAGCTGCTCAGCCACCACCTGGCCCCTCCAAGGCCAGTCCCCTCTCTGCCCAGGCTCCCTCTTCCAGTTCTGGCTGGTCCAGGAGGGAGGCCTAGGGGCTAAGGAAGGTGCCTGTGGGTGAAGCTGGGTGTGGAGGGTGTGGCAGGGAGCAGTGGAGAGAGAAGTTCTGCCTGTGGCTGGAAACCAGGCTACATATTATCAGTTCCCTTATTCAAGAAACGTTTTCCCTGTTTGACCCTCACATGTAACACCTTGGTTTGTTTTGTCTCTTTCCTTTTTCTTCTCTCCCTTCACTGAGCTCTGTATCTCTTTCTGTTTCTCAGTTCTTTTTCCCTGCCTCTTTCTTCCTCTGACTTTCTTCTGTCTCTCTTTCTCTCCCTATCTCTTACTCATTCACTCTTCTTTCTCTCCCATGTACTTTCTCCGCTTCTTCTGCTGTCTCTCCCTCTTTGCTGATCCCTCATTCTCTCCGTCTGTCTAACTCTCAGGCCCTCTGGCTCTTTCTCACTCACTGTCCTTTTTACATTCTATATTTATATCTCTTTTGATTCTCTTGGAACATTCTGGAAACAAGTTCCTTTCTGGCCAATTCCCCAAACAAAACCTCAATTTCAAGCCAAAATGCGCTGCTGGCAGCCTCAGCTCTCTCCTGCCATCCCGACCTCCTCACTCACATGCAAGTGTATTTCCCCACTACCACCAGACATTTATCTCTCAACAACTTTTAAGCTGCCCTCCTCCTGCTTCCCATCCCAACATACTCTTTCTAGTCTCTACTTGCCTGCTTTCCTCCCACTTCCCCCAGCCCCTCAGGGGTAGAGCTCATTTTTGTAATCCATTGTCAAGCTTCTGTCTCCTGACCAACTTCTTCCCTTCTCTAAGCCTCAGTTTCCTCCTCTGTTCAAAGAACAGATTGGACTGGGTCCTTCATAGCTCGAACATTCTTTGTTCTATGTTCCTTTTCAGCTCTGACATGTGATTCTATGCTTTTCACACCTCTTCATCTGCTCTCACTAAGCCTTGTAGGGGAGAGAGGGAGGAGAGTGGAATGTATTTATACCAATGATGAGGGAACAATTTATCATAATATTCTCCCTTGAGATTGGCTGCTAAAATGTGGGGATAAGGTACAAAAGCTTTGTGGGTAAATGCAGCAAATTGTATAATTTTCTTCTCCCTTCAATAGGTGACTCCCTAGACACTCCTGAAAGTCACTGGGGAGCTCAGAGAAAGTGACCCATGTCTCTGTTCACCCACCTATTAATCTGCATCTTTGGCTCCGGCTCCTGGGTGGCCATCAATGGACTATGGGTAGAGTTGCCTCAGCTGGTACCAAAACTACCCGAGGGTTGGAATCTACCCTCCTATATCACAGTCATCATCCAGCTAGCCAATGTGGGTCCACTCTTCATCACCCTTCTCCACCGATTCCGACCTGGCTACCTCTCTGAGGTCCCAGTCATCTATGTTGTGCTAGCCGTGGGCACGACTGCCTGTTTCCTCTTCGCTTTCCTGTGGGAGAAGACTTCACTGGTGGCTGGTGTTCCCCATAGCACAGCTTTCCTGGTCCTCACCTTCATCCTGGCCCTAGTGGACTGCACCTCCTCCGTCACTTTCCTGCCTTTCATGGCCCGCCTGCCAGCCCAGTACCTTAACACTCTTTTTGTTGGGGAAGGGTTGAGTGGTCTCCTCCCTGCTCTGGTGGCTTTGATCCAGGGCTCAGGGACCAAAACTTGTGCCCATGTCACCAATGGTTCCATAACCACTGTGCCACCTAAAGTCACTAAAGTATCCTTCATCCCGAAGGTACTGAACATGACCATGAGCCCTGACTTCATTTCTAGAGCACCTCAGCCAGAGAACTGTCACCTCTCAGCCAATTTCTCCCCCTTTGTCTACTTTCTCCTGTTGTTTGTCATGATGGCCAGCTGCCTGGCTGCCTTTTTTGGCCTGACACGTCTCTCTAAGCGATGGGAACACTCTACTGAGGACCACCCAGTCAACCAGGTGACTCTGAGATCCTTCAGTCTCCAAGATGCCTCAGCTGACAGCAGCAACAGAGACAGCTTCTCACCATTGGCCCTGCCTGAGGAGAATAGGGCCCCTGTGTGGTCACGGGCCCAGTTAGCCTTCATCTATGCTGCGGTGGCTTTTGTGAATGCCCTCACCAATGGAATCCTCCCTTCTGTTCATACCTACTCCTGCCTGCCCTATGGTTCTAAGGCTTACCACTTGTCTTCAGTGCTTGGTGCTATAACCCACCCCCTGGTTTGCCTCCTGTCTATGTTCCTACCTGAAATGTGAGTAACTCTGGCCCCTTGAAGTTTTCTCTCGATTGGAGGGAGTCAGGGATAAAAAGATAAACAGGAGCTAGGGACAGGGAAAGGACAGGGTAATTGAGGAACTGCCCCCCCTAAAAGGCAGAATGAAGGAGTAGATAGAAAACTGGATCAGGAAATAAGGACCTTAGGTTCTAACGCCAGTTCTACTTGGGCACCTAGGTAATGCCTGGAGTCAGGAAATCCTGAGTTCAAATCCAGTCTCAGACACTTACTAGGTGTGTGATCCTGGGCAAGTTGCTTAGCCTGCATTTGCCTCAGTTTCCTCAACTGTAAAATGGGTATTATAATAGCACCTGCCTCCCAGGGTTGCTGTGAGGATCAGATGAGGTAATGTAAGTGCCATATAAATACTTTCCTCTCACTCTTTCTTGAGGAAGATCATAGAATCATAGGTCTATCGCTGGAAGGGACCTCAGGGTCCGTCTAGTCTAAGGATTCTTAAGTTGGCATGTGTGAAATTATTTTGATAACATCTTAATATAATTGGTTTCCTTTGTAATCCTTTGCATTTTATTTTATGCACTTAAAAATATTCTGAGAAGGGGTCCATAAACTCCATAAACATCACTAGGCTGTCAGAGGGCTCCTCTCAAAAAGCCCTAAGAACCCCTGATCTAGTCCAACCCCCTCATTTTTACAGATAAAGAAATTGAGGCACAGGGAAATTAAGTAAATTACCTAGTTTATATTCCAGGGGGACTTTTAACATAAATAGGTAAGTAAAGATAAAAGATGGCAATTAGGTGGTACAGTGGATAGAGTCAGGAAGGCCTGGGTTCAGATTTACAGACATTTACTGAGACATTTTACTAGCTGTGTGACCCTGGGCAAGTCACCTAACCCTTTCTGCCTCAGTTTCTTTATCTGTAAGATGGGCTGGAGAAGGAAATGGAAAACCACTCCAGTATCTTTGCCAAGAAAACCTCAAATTGGGTCACAAAGAGTCAGACACAACTGAAGCTACTAAATAACAAAGATAAAAAGATAAATTTAAGAGGAAGAAAAACACTTGTCAGTCAACACACATTTATTAAACACCAGGTTCTATGCTGATAGAGATATCATAAAAAGGCAAAAGACAGTTCCTGCCCTCAAGAAGCTCACAATCAAATGAAAGAGATGCCTAAAAGGACTTGAAAGGATAAAGCCAGAGCTGAGCTTGGAAGGAAGTTTTCTTATATGAAGAGATACTACCTATCAAGAAGCAGGATTTGAACTTGGATTCTCTGACTCTGAAGTCAGTGAATCTCTTCACTGGACCACACTGAATTTTAAGGTCCTGTCCACCTAGAATATTCTATGTTCTAAGGTCCTTTCCAGAACAGACTCTGAGAATTTCTGTCCTTGGGCCCAGGTTAGGCCTCAATGGTCTAGCCTGTGTCAAGGCTGGATTCTTGCCCTACTCATCCCAGTCACCTTTTAATTAGTCCGTCCCAGCCAGAGAAGTCCTGACACTTCTATAAATGCGTTGACTGTTAATATTTTTGATCCTCCCATCTGTGAGTGGGAGTAGGATTGATGGTTGGAAGAAGTGATGGGGGCCATGGATGAGTTCAGCTGCTGGTTTTGTTTGGATTCTAGGTTCCCAATTGAGTGTCACCCCTCACCTTGACTATTGAAGGACTGGCAGCTACTCCTTTGAAAACCAGAATCCCGAAGGCTCTTGCTGGTCATATGGGCCTATGTTCACCAATGGGCTTGTGGCTACCACCTGAATTGAGTTTCCCTTGTGTGCAGAGCCCTGTTAGGGGTTATGGGCCTTAGGAAAACAAAAACATGGAAGGCATTGTCCCTACCCTCCAGGACATTACAGGTTCTTGACTGAGACAGTGTTCTCACACAGGAAAAGAACATTTACAATGTTAACACAAACAAGTTCAAATGAATATCACAAAAAATTAGAGCTTGGAAGGACTTCAAGAACATAAAATGTTGGATATGCATAGGAGCTGGATCCATAACTTGGTTTGTGTAGGGAATTCCCAGATGAGGAAACTTCCTCTAAAAATACAGTTTGCCACCTTCTCTTCCAGTCTTAGGAAATTGCCTAGCATTCTGGGAGGTTAGTGAACTTGCCAAAGGTCAGACAGCCAGTTTGTCAAAGGCAGGACTTGAACCTAGTCTTAACTGGGTTTAAAAGGGCTGCTCTGTGTCAACTATGTTAGTGTTGGAAGATACCCTAGTCAAACACTGTCATGTTATAGGAAACTGAGACTTAAAAAGTAAAAAGGAGAAGGGAGTTCACCAAGAGATTACAAAGCAGAGACAGTGATAGCTCCCCAGGTCCCCAGGCCTATCACATTCTTCCATGGCTGCTAGCAGGTGACTGATCATATTTGGATCAGATAAAATCTTCCCCTTAGAAATTTACTTTGGAGGTGTGGATATGAGAGGGAAGTGAAAAGTACTTCTGACAATGAAAAGTCTGAGCTATGGACTCTTCTTGCCATCAGAAATTTTTGCTTCCCTCCCCAGGTCTCTCTTTTGGCTGGGGGTTACCACAATGGTGGGCACTGGTTTTGGAGCCTACAACTTGGCCATGGCTGTCCTGAGTCCCTGCCCTCTGCTGAAGGGCTCTCACTGGGGAGAAGCCATCATTGTAAGTAACCTCCGCCCTTCTCTCAACTCCCTTCTTCCATCCTCCTGTCTTCTCTTTCCCCTTTCTAGAACTGAGTTCCTTGTAGAACCGAGTATCAAACCATCTGTTTGATTTTGGGGTGGGGAGGTCATCTCAGGTAGCCTCCCATTGGTACTGAAGGGAAAACAGCTGGGGCGCCAATTACACTGGGAGGTCAGGTCCATAGGGTTCTTTTTGCCATGGAGGATCCTTTCTGAAGGGAAGGGGTATGTCTCTCTTTGTGTTTTCAGGTTACCTCTTGGGTACTTTACGGTGGGATCCTGAGCTATGTCAAGGTGATGACTGGGGTGCACCTGCGCAAGGTGAGCCAGAGCGCCCTCCTGTGGTGTGGTGCAGCAATTCAGCTGGGCTCTGCATGTGGGGCCATACTCATGTTTCCTCTTGTCAACGTGTTGCACCTTTTTAAGTCCTCCAATGGAAGCAGCCAGCAGTGTCCCTTCTGAGCATGCCCTAGCACAACTTTTCTGGGCTGCATTTCACTGGGCCAGGAGAGCCAAAGCCATGGAGAGCCAATCACATTCCCATCTAAGTTTTGCTCAGACATTGACACAGACATTCCCAACTTTGCCTTCCCCACCTTGTCCTCCCCCAAGCAATGCTAAAGCTTCCACAATTTGAGCCATCAAGGAAGACTCTACTCCCATCTCCAAGAATCACAGCCACAAATTTCACTACTCACTGTTATTGGCATTTGGGTGCAAGCTCTACCTCTGGGGGAAAGTAGGCTAGCCCATAGTCTAAGTTGCTTGAGGGGTAGCCTACTATTAACAGGTTAAGTGACTTGCCCAGGGTCATTCAGCTAGTATGTGATACAGACATGACTTAAACCTAGGATTTCCCAAGTTGAGATTTCTATTCACTACCTCACATTTTTGTATTTAAAATTAGTCAGTTGCTGAAATCAATAAAATAATTTTTTTATCTTATTCATTGCAACAAATGTGTCTATTAAATGTCTACAACTCCTCAATGAGCTTAAATTCTAATGAGGTATTCAATTTGTAAATAGAAGTGGCATCTGAACTGAGTGTAAAAGAATCTAGGAATTCTGAGAGGGCATCCCAGGCAAGGAGTCAGCTTGTTCAAGATGGATTTGGGAATGCTGAGTCTGGGGAACATCTAGGAAGTAATTCTACACATGAAGGGGAGAAATCTGACATAAATTTGGAATGTAAAGTTTATGTAAAGTTCTAAATGCCACGTTGAAAAATGTGTATTTTATCCTAAAGGCAGTAGTGAGTTTTACCCAAGACTTGATCTGGGGAATAGCATGGTCAAACACATGCTTTAAGAAGACTATATTGTCATGGTGGGGGGTGAGAGGGGTTTGGGGAGGGGGGGATTGGAGAAAGGAGAAACCAGAAGCTAGGAGACAAACTAGGAGATCATTATAATATTCTGTTCAAGCGGTGATAAAAGCCTGAACTAGGTAAGAATCCCTGGAGAGAAGGGGATAAATGACAGATACAATGGAGATAGAATTGACAAAGATTGAGGGACCAGTCAAGATAGCAGAGTAGCAGGAAGAGGTACTGCCAAACTTTCCTCCATGACTCTTCCACAAAGACCCTGGAAACACACCAGATCAAGTCCTGATATAGAATTCCACTCTCCCCCAAATCAGTCGTTTTTCCATCCCAGTTTTTTGCATAAGGAGTCTAGATGCTGGGGATAGGGTCTAGCTAGGAACCACTATATGGAACATTCTAGAACAGACTGAAAGAGAGCCAACCCTGTATGCTTGGGCAAGAGGTTCCAGACCTACAAAGAGGGATGTGACTTTGTGGAAGATGCAGGTTCAGATGCCAGCTAGCAGCTTTGTCGCAACCCAATTCTGGTCACAGATGTAGGGCTGACTGAGGAAGAGAACTGCACAAGGGGGAAGTCCAGGGTAAGAAGTAGTCATGGGCCCTAGACTATGTACTTAGCAAGAAGCAAGTTCCAAAGTGAGCAGCAGCTGTGTGGCTTTGACTCCAGGAGTGGAGAAGAGCACAGTCTGAGCTCTAGCTTCTAGACCAGACTGAACCCTGTAGTGGGATGACCAAGGCAAGAATTTAGATCAAAGGGGAGCCTACTGCTCTGCACATTGAACCAGTAAACCTTTCTGGCCGATTGATAGTGGCTGAGTTCAGCAGCAATCTAATGAGATTCCAGCCAGGGGCAAGTCCATAGATTTGTTGCCCAGACCCAAACCTAGGTCAGGAACTTTCAGAGCTTGAGTGGGTGGGGGTGTGGGGGGAAACTATCAGACTTTGTCCTGGCCACTGTGGGAGCACTGAAAGCATGCAAGTCCACAGCCTGAGATCCAAGAATAATTCAATACTCAATAGCCAAAGAAAGCAGCCACAGGATCCACAAGGACACAAGTTCAGCCTAACATTCCTTCTAGAGATGCACGGAGTCTGACCCTAACATGAAACCTGAAGTCAGGAAGAAGGTTGAAAGGATAAGAAAACAAAAAGAGAGTCCCAACATCATCAAGGTAACAGGGATACTCAAGACACAAACCCGGAAGAAAAGTATGACTCCAAAACAAAGTCTCCAAGAAAAATAGCTTGGGCTATGGGCAAGTTCTAGAATTCCTGAAAGAGATGAAGCAAGAGACTTTTTAACGTTTAAGTGATTTTAAAAAAGGAAATGACAGTGCTAGAGGGAAAAAATTGGAAAGGGAATTAGTAGCTTAGCACAAGAGGTACAAAACCTTGCCCAAGAAACAAACTGCCTAGAAATTAGAAGGAACCAAATAGAAGCCAATGACTCCATGAAACAATAAGAAACATTTAAAACAAAGTCAGAAAAGACTAAAAAAGAACAGAAAAATGTAAACTGTCTCATAGCAAAATAACTGACCTTAAAAACAGATTGATGGTTGGAAAATTTATCTTTGGACTAAAGCCATACTACAAAAAAGAGCTGAGACATCACATTTCAAGAAATCATAAAACTGCTCAGATCTCTTTGAACCAGGGGAAAGGCAAAATCAAAATACAAAGAATTCACTGGTCACCTCTAAATTTGTAAAGGAAAAGTTAGTTGAGTTACAGAGAGAAATAGTAAAACTGTACTAGTAGGGAAACTCAAATATACTCCATCCCAATGCTTAGACAAATCTAACCCAACAATAAACAAGAAAGATACTGATCAAAATAGATTTGTAGAAAAATTAGATACGCTAAGACCTCTGGAGATTATTGAATGGGAATAGAAAGGAACTTAGGTATTTCTCAACTGTTCATGGCAACTCTTACAAAAACTAACCATGTATTAAGGCATAAAAATCTCATAAATGCAGAAAATAAGAGCTACTAACCACATCTTTTATGAACCACAGTGCAATAAAATATATTCAACAAGAGGCTACAGAAGAAACAATGAATTGTAGACTAACATTCCTATAAAATGAGTGGGTCAAAAGACGAATCATAGAAAAAATAATTTTATTAAAAATAACAATGACACAACATACCAAAATTTTGGAGATGCAACTAAAGGAATTTTTAGGGGAAATTTTCTGTCTTAAAACACTTTCATTAATAAAAGAGAAAAAAGCAGATCAATGAATTGAGCAAGCAATTTTTAAAAAAAAAACACAAAACCAGCAAATTAATGCTCCAAACACCAAAATAGAAATCCTGACAATCAAAGAAGAAATAAACAAAATTGAAAACAAAAAAAAAGAATTGAATAAATAAAACTAGGAAATGACTTTTTAAAGAAAAAACAAAAAATTATAAACAATTAACTAATTTGATTTTTTTAAAAAACCACCTTACCAGGATCAAAAAATGGAAAAGGTGAATTCATGACCAATAAAGAAGAAATAAAAGAGCTTATTAGAAACTTTCACCCAGTTATATGCTTATAAAACTGATAGTCTAAAGGAAATGGATGAATATTTTAAAAATATAAAATGCCCAGATCAACATAACAGGAAATATATGTACTTAAATAATCCTGTTTTTTTTTTATTTTTCCCCCAATTTTATTAATTTATTGATTTATCAACAATCATTTCCATATGCTTTTGAGTTGAAAATTTTTCTCCTCCTTCCTCCCCCCCACCCTTCCCGAACAGCCCACAATCTGATATAGGCTTTACATTTACATTCCTATTAAACATATCTTCACATTAGTGAAGTTGTAAGTAAATGTTTTTCTGGTTCTACTCATTTCGCTCAGTTCATATAAGTCTTTCCAGGTTTTTCTGAAGTCAGCCTGTTCATCATTTCTTATAGCATAATAGTATTCCATTACATTCATATGCCACAACTTGCTCAGCCATTCCCCAATTGATGGGCATCCTCTCAATTTCCAATTCTTTGCCACCACAAAAAGAGCTGCTATGAACATCTTTGTACATGTGGGTCCTTTTCCCATTTGTTTGATCTCTTTGGGATATAGCCCTAGAAGTGCTATTGCTGGATCAAAGGGTATGCACATTTTTGTAGCCCTTTGGGCATAGTTCCAAATTCTCTCCTCCAAAATGGTTGGATCATTTCACAACTCCGCCAACAATGTATTAGTGTTCCAATTTTCCCACATCTTCTCCAACATTTATCATTTTCCTGTTTTGTCATGTTGGCCACTCTGATAGGTGTGATGTGGTACCTCAGAGTTGTTTTGATTTGCATTTCTCTTATCAATAACGATTTAGAGCATTTTTTCATATGACTATAGATGGCTTTAATTTCTTCATCTGAGAACTGTCTGTTCATATCCTTTGACCATTTATCAATTGGGGAATGGCTTGTGTTCTTATAAATTTGTCTTAATTCTCTATATATTTTAGAAATGAGGCCTTTATCAGAGAGACTGGTTGTAAAAATTCTTTCCCAATTTTCTACCTTCCTTCTAATTTAGTTGCATTGGCTTTGTTTGTGCAAAAACTTTTCAATTTAATGTAATCAAAATATCCATTTTGCTTTTCATAATGTTCTCTATCTCCTGTTTGGTCATGAATTCTTCTGTTCTCCATAGATCTGATAGGTAAACTATTCCTTGTTCTCCAGTTTACTTATGGTATCAGCCTTTATATCTAAGTCATGAACCCATTTTGACTTTATTTTGGTATATGGTGTGAGATTTGGGTCTATGCCTAGTTTCTGCCATACTCTTTTCCAGTTTTCCCAGCAGTTTTTTTCAAAGAGTGGGTTCTTATCCCAGAAGCTGGGGTCTTTGGGTTTATCAAATAATAGATTACTATAGTCATTGACTACTGTGTCTTGCATATTTAACCTATTCCACTGATCCACCTCCCTATTTCTTAGCCAGTACCAAGCAGTTTTGATGATTGCTGCTTTATAATACAATTTAAGATCTGGAATTGCTAGGCCACCTTCCCCTGCATTTCTTTTCATTAGTTCCTTTGATATTCTGGACCTTTTGTTTTTCCAAATGAATCTTGTTATTATTTTTTCTAACTCTATAAAATAATTTTTTGGTAGTTTGATTGGTATGGCACTGAATAAGTAAATTAGCTTAGGTAGGATTGTCATTTTTATTATATTAGCTCAGCCTACCCATGAGCAACTGATGTTTTTCCAATTATTTAGATTTGATTTTATTTGTGTGAAAAGTGTTTTGTAATTGTGTTCATAGAGTTCCTGGGTTTGTTTCGGGAGGTAGACTCCTAAATATTTTATAATGTCTACAGTAAATTTAAATGGGATTTCTCTTTCTATCTCTTGCTGTTGGGCTTTGTTGGTAATATATAGAAATGCTGATGATTTATGTGGGTTTTAAATAATCCTATTTTAGACAAATAAATTAATCAAGCCATAAATAAACTCCCAAAGGAAAAGAAAGTACCCAGCCTCAGATGGATTTACAAATGAATTTTATCAAACATTTAAAGAACA